CTTTCCCATCTCTTCTGTCTTAAATCAGTCCTTCTGCCTTGTATTAAATAAGTCCATGTCAGCATGCTTAAGGATGCAGGGAACTTATTTTTAAGCACTCACCATATGCTAGACATTGTGCTAGATATTCTGCATACATCATCTCATTGAACACACTGACTGATACACACACAAAAATACCCCAAATTTTCCTAGGGGCCACAGTGTTTTATTACAAAAATAAACTTTGAATGTAATTTAAAGGTAAACATAAATAGAAAAATGACATTTATTGACTTCATTTAATCCATGCTTTTAGAATTAAATTGTTAATGTTAATTGTAACAATAAGAACATCAATAAGTAAGATTTTATATATGCTTCATGTGGCCCCAGGGTCAAAACTAGAGTAAGTTAAATACAACTCTCATGGAAGTTAATGTGTTAATCCTAACTTAATGCCCTGGCAGGTAGATGTTATTTCTCCTTTTTCTACTAGCAAGGCAACTGGGGCATAGAGAGCTTTATATAATTCAGCCAAACCTACATGGTAAGTAGCAAAGAGAGAATTCAAACTCAAATATATCTGATTTCAAAGCCCTTAGTTTTAGCACTGTGTTAGAGCCTTCTTATTTAACTTTGTTTTTAAGGAATCCATTTTATCAATGCTTACTTGGATTCATGTACTTTAGGGGCAAATCTTCCAGTGGCCTAATGTCATGGTTGGGTCATCTTATTGGTGGTCTCTGTGGGCAGCTAAAGACTGCTTTGTGTACTATTTTTTTTTTTTATTCAAGGTTCTTTTCTTTGCCAACCTTTTCCTTTTGCGTTGGTTTGCGGTTTATTCCGGTTCTTTTTTTCCCTTTAAAAAAAAAAAAAAAAAAGACGGGTAGTGAGGGTGGGAAATAATTTTTCCATGTGCAAGTGGCTTTGAACCACAGTGAGTTAGGGCTCTTGTGGAGGTAAATGATCCTGATAAATCTGTTTTCTTTTTCGATTAGAGATCAACTCTCAGAACTCAGTGACAGGTCAAAACACGCTTTTATTCTTTGACCAAAACACCCACAGAGGAAACAGAAACCAGTTTAGCAACTTTGCAAGTGGGTGCAGAAGGATTCCTATAAATAAAGCTTCCCATTGTGCCTCTCTGGCCATGTTCGGTTTGGAATGCTGATCGTCCTACTCTCAACTCTTACTGACAACATGGTGAATTTAGTTCTAGCTGATGCTTGATGCATTGCATTTTTTTTTTTGTATCCTAATTGTGGTACACCCTAAAGGAGATCTACCCATAAAATAAGCTCTAGCATGATTTCTAAGCATTTGTGCAATATAAGCCCTACCCCCAAAATAAGAAATAGTGATGGGTGTGGCTATGCAGCTTATCTGCACAACCCATGCATTTCTTAGTGGAGCAGTAAAGAAGATGAGCAGCCCTTCTCATCTGCCCCATGAGAGCTCTATTGCTGACATGAGAGATTGGGACCAACAGTTCTAAAGGAAATAGAGTCACAAGAAATTCAGGATAAAGTTCTGGGTTTGGAGAGTTATGATGATGTCCCAGAAGAAGACGACTTAATTATATTTGAATAAATGTAGATTGTTGTACCGTAGTTTAAAAAAAATAACACATCCCCTGAAAATAAGCCCTAGGGTGTCTTCTTGAGGAAAAATAAATATAAGACCCTGTCTTATTTTGGGGGAAACATGGTAAGTGTCTCCCTATTGCCTTCAGATTAAAATCCAAATCCTCAACATAATTTACAAAACATGTGAAGGCACTAGTTCCTGCTTATTTTTCTAATCTCATCTTTCTCCTCTCCCCCTACCCTAATCTATATTATCCTCTTTCATACCATGCCGTGATCACACTGGACTTCTTTAAACTGAAGTTTCACTGGCTTCCAGGCCTTTGCCCATGCCAGTCTCTGCCATGGGCACTTTCCTTTTCCCCTGCTCCCAACTACTTTTCAGCATGTAATCCTATTTGCCTGACATATCCTTCCTTTAAATTCTAACATAGATGGCCTTACTCTAAGAAATGCTCGTGATACCTCAAATCTGATCAAACCAATAATTGGAAGCAAATTTAAAGTAAAATAATGGGATTATTATAAATACAATTTCAAACTGGCATAAAGCATGTACACATTCATTCAGTTCATAAGGTTGTCCATACATATTTATTAAACACCTGTTATATGCCCAGCAACTTTTCGTTGGGTCATTGTACAGAGATTGTCAATCTCCTATAATGTTCTAGATACTGTTTTGGATGCAGTGATGATAGGGATGAACGTTTTTAGAGCCAAAATTCTAGTAGGGATGACTAATCACAAATGTATAAATAAATAATACCAGTTAGTGACAAGTGGCATGAAGAAAAATCACATAAAGGGGTGCTGCCTTAGATAAAGCAGTCAGAGAAGACCTTCCAAAGTGGAGGTATACAAGCAGGGGCCTAAACAAAATGACAGAGCAAGGTCAGGCCAATGTCTGAGAAAGAGCATTCTAAGAAAAGGGGAACCCCAAGTTCAAAGGCTTTAGGACAGGAACATGCTTGGTGCATTCAAAGAACAGCAAAGAAGCCTGCATGTGCTACATTCAGTGAGCAAGATGGAAAGGGGTTCTGAGGGCCAGGACCTGTAGTGTTCAGCAATAGGGGGATTGCAGTCCAGTGAAAGCTGTTTCATGCAAGCTAAACTTACAGAAATTTTGTAATATATTTATTTTCCACAAAGCCTAACACACTCAATATGTCCTATAAATATCAGCCAACCATAATGCTACCGTAAGCAGTTCAAAATTTCTTTTAAGAATCACTCTTTAACACCTGCTCTCTCCTCTGCCCCCTCAAAATGAGTTAAATACTTGATAAGTAAACTTTTTCTCATAGAAAAGCCAGATGTTTTCTCTGGATGAGGGAAGATTGCCTTTCCCTTGCCCCCATCCCCTGGAGAGCCCTGTTTCAGAACTGACACTATTTATATGGCTCAACTCAGTTTTGAAACAGGGCTCTCCTCACTTCAACTGAGAGGCAAAGTATTCTTTTTGGTCTTCTGCAGAGTATATTTAGCTAAGTGTCCACTACAAGTGAAATTCACATCTCAGGCTAAGGCTATAACCTTAGCATTGTGATGTGATATTGGCAAAAGTACTTTTATAATCCTACCAGCCAACAATTAATATCTATAATTAGGAAGATTACATGATTCCAAAATTACCCAAGTATTGGAAAGACTTTGTTTTTATCATAAATCTTCCTTTTGCAGACATTCTATAATAAAGACATCTGCACCCGAATGTTTATGGCAGCACAATTCACTATTGCAAGGATGTGGAAACAACCCAAGTGCCCGTCAATTCATGAGTGGATTATTAAAATTTGGTATATGTATACAATGGAATATTACTCAATTCTAAGAAATGTCAGTGATCTAGCACCTCTTATATTTTTCTGGATTGAGTTTGAGCCTATTATCCAAAGTGAGGTAACACAAGATCAGAAGTATAGGCTCCACTTATATTCGACATCAAATTGGTACTGACTGATTAACACTATGGTGCTCACATGGTAGTAATATTCTCCAGGGATTAGGGGTTTGGGTGGGGTGAACTCACAACTAAAGGACACGGTGAGCATTGTAGAGGGGAAGGGTATGCCTCTAACCCTCGCTAGGGAAAGGCAAAGATATAAAATGTAACCAAAATGTTTGGACCCTCATAATACCCTGAAATAAAAAAAAAAATCTTCCTTTTGCAAAAGATCTATTATCATCTTTAAAAAGTCCACTTTGAACTAGTTCTGATTATGTAATCAAGCAGATTTGTCAATTTCCTAAAACATAAGTCCACAAACCTGGACATTTAAAGTTACATTGTCATAAATTGGCCAATCTACATGGTGATAACAATATAATGTAAGGGAAGAAAAGAAAGAAAGAAGTTAACCATGAAAATAACGATGTAAACCAGAAAAGAATCTAGAATAAAAACTGGAGGAGATGTAGAAGCAACTGAATTTCTGATCATAGTAAATCAGAGCTTCTTAGCAGCTCACATCCCCAAAGTAATAGACAGCCAATATTTAGCCAACATTCATCAGAAACTTTGTTCATTGTGTACCTAGTGGACAGCTCTAAGCATGGTTAAAAAATTGATTTGGTCTTGCAAAACCCTGAAAGAACTAAACTTGGCTGACCATGACTCAAGTCTAGTTCCTATCAGATTCTTAATGAGAGCAAATAATAAAGAACAAATGACAAAATATTGGGAATATGTACCTTGTGTAGATATGACAAATATACATAAATAAATAGATATAGATATTTACTTAGATAAACACCTGTCATGTGATCAATTCACCAGTTGTTTGATATGGGGGAGTGTGAGCATGTGCGTGCCTTTACAGCTCTCTTATTTCTATTCAAACACAAGGCAAATGTGGATACTATTACTGGCCACCTATGTGAGATGTAAATATATAAAAGTCCTCCTTTGCATTTCCTGCAGATGTTGAAAACCGTATGTGTTTTGTTTTGGGTGCTTTTTTTGTGTGTGTGAGTTCCATCGTAGCATGAAGTGTTCCTTTAAAGAGGAGCCAATTCATCACTGCTTTCTACCTGATGCTGTTGTTTCCCAGGAGTGTGCAGCTATGCTCAATTATTTGAAGATGAATGTCAAGGCATCTCCAAAGCACTTTTGCCTTCTTCTTTTTGCTCATCATATAAAGCTGCAAGGAAACATTTTGTCATTAATTTTCTATACATAGCTAACTCAGCAAAACTTAGAGAATAAGCAACATCTCCCAGGGTGATTGTGTGCATAACATGAGAATATTAGTTGAAGCACTTTGTAACTGATAAGGGATTACACATATGTAAGGCACTGTTATCATTAGCATTACTTTAATGTATTAGAATGGAATCTAGGACTGGAATAGCCAGTCATGTTACTAAGGAGTGAAATGGAAATTAGTATCCATTAAACACCTACTTATAGCATAGTGCCACAAACTTAACTGGATGTTTTACATAGGTTATCTTATTTATTTAATATAATAGTATTGATAGGGATACTGCTGGAACTCTTAAAGGCCAAATAGAATTTTCAGTGGATATAAACATAGCTCCATAGAGAAGATTAGACATCATATATTTTTACCTGAGAGTGAATCATATCGCCAATTTTTACCATTTTTCTCCAAAAACCTGTTGGTTTGGCCACGTACTTTACTAGCCAATGAATAGTTTTATTATGGAGCTGTGAGAATTTGGCAAAGACCATATGCTTTGCATTGCCTACAAAATCTTGGCATTAATATTATTTCTATTATATAGAGCTGTGGTCCCCAAACCCAGGCTGCAAAGCTCAGCTGCCCTCTCATTCCAACCCCCCTCCCCACCCCCACCCCATTGAAAAATTGTCTTCCATGAGACTTTGGAATGGGGGGGGGGAGAAAAAGAGGCTCACAGCAGGAGGTGAGCAGCAGGCAAGCAGTGAAGCTTCATCTGTATTTATACCACTCCCTATGGCTCTCCACTGCCCCAACTCCACCTCCCCGCCCCCACCCCGTTCTGTGGAAAAATTGTCTTTCGTGAAACTGATCCCTGGTGCCAAAATGGTTGGGGACTGCTTATAGAGCATCACTTGTTGTGAACTGATGGTAACGTGAACTCCATTTTCTTTATGATTGTTGTCATTTCACTGCAATGTAGTAACTCTATACAGTTTTCCATGAGTTATGTATCTTTTTAAATTACCTCGGAAGCCCACCTGTTTTGGTATCCAGTAGTTCTCAGACTTACAAGGATCTTTACCTACTAAGTTGATATTTTCTATTCCGAATGGTTGTGATCCCTGCCTTTGAATAAAATGCAGTGTTACACTATATGTATACATCAGTGAGTTGCCATTGCTGGTCTCACCTAAATGTGATAATGGGAGAGTAAAAGGGAAACATCCACCAGAATCTTCTCCGGGACTCCAAAATTTAAGGACATGAGTAGGGTGTCAGAAATTGCCAAGCTCTAGATGCTACCCCTTTGTTTCTACAAAGCTAACAGGGAATATGGATTAAGAAGGGGCCAAGTAAGAAGAAGTTATTATTACTCTTACCCATTCATTCAGTTACTAATGTTTAGCACTGTGGTAGGTATGTTGACTTTCTCCTTGCTATACTATGGGGGAAAAAAAACAGGAAGAAATAACTATAATGCAAAGCAGTGTGAACTGCAAATATCATGATAATTGCAAGTTGCAAGTTCTGGGGGGGAGGGGAATCAAACTTATATTCTGACAATGGCTAGCAGTGTTTAAATATCTATAAAGGTAAAAAACATCAGTCTGGTTATTACTCAGCTTATCAAATCTACTACCTGTCGGTGTTAGTAGGACTATGTAACAGAGATTTGTTAAAGGTGGCCATGTCATTCATTTGTTTTATGATAAGAAACCGTACAGAAGTTAGATATTGAGTTCTGTTATCTCACTCCATGATAGACTTTGCAGGGTCAACTTAGTAACAAAAATCACGTAGGGTATGCTGGCACTCTTCCCAAAATGCTCATGAGCCAAAAGCGAGTCCACAGTCACAGGGCAGGTGCAGTGGCTTCCCTGTGTACAGAAACAGAAACCTCTGAATCTTGCGCACTGCCACCAGGGGTCAGGGACTGGGCAGGAGGAGAGGGCACTCTGGCAGAAAGGAAGTGTTGTATTACCCGGGGAAAAACAGGAACCAAAATTCCCTTCTCCTTCTTGAAAGCAGCACATTGCTGGCTGAGCCGGGTTTGAAGGGAGGACCTCAGAAATGTTCTGTCCACGTAAAGGTATGTGTAAGTGCTAAGTGGCTTTAAATAGGTTATTTTGGAAAGTCAAATAAGGCAGACTTCAAAGGGCTTCCTTTGTGTTATATTTTCAAAACTCAGATAAGCTATATGGATCTCTGATGATGTAGTTGGAGGTTTTATGGCTACTCCCTCCAAAAAGGGAATATTTGGTGGGGAAGGTAGAGAGGGAGGTAGACTCTGTCAAAATACTAAATCTAAATAGAATATATATTTTAGAATAGAATAGAATAAATAGAATAGAATAAAATAGAATATATATAATGTGTATATATTATTTGTCCATGATTTGCTGTAGGTGCTACTGCCAATTATGATTCTATAAGGAGATAATTCCAGAAATAGATTTAGACATAGTGATTTGAATCTGTTTCATGTCCTATGACCATCTGTAACAAGTTATTAGTGACTTTTTTTTCATTCATTCACAGAAAAACATTTGTCAGTAAGATTTTCATATTGCCTTACTTTATCCTTAACTGAAAAAATGGTGCCTAACTTGTGACATGACAGTGATCAAGTCACATGATCTCTTTTTTATCACTACTGTATTCTGGGTTTCAAAGACTAGTAATACATTTCATTGAAACTCTCCTAACCATCTTCTCAAAAACTTGCTTATACATCTTTGGCTTTTGTTAGCATTTCATTACTTTAAGTTCTCTAGGCTCCAGAGAAATGAGGAGAGAAATAGGCATGGTTTTTTTCCTTTTTCTTTCTTTTTTTTTTTTTTTTAAGTTTTGGTCAAACAAGCCAAAATAACATTATCATTGATGGATCGACCTGTACTTTTAAATGGAAGGAATAAAGATATAAAAAGAACTGAGGCATGTAAGTAACCTCTTTGATTTTTAATGGCATGCAGCAGACGGAATTCATTATTGACTTTTAAAAATGAAATTGCTCTGCGTTATTATTTATTTATAGTTTTGCCTTTCAAAAGAAGTAATTACCATTACTAGGCTAGTTTTTCCTCAATCCCAAGCAACTATGTGACAACATCAGAATTATAATATTCTTTACCACTTACTTAGTCATGAAGCTTAATGATGTTGCAGGATTTCATCCCTTTTAAATTAGTAATAAATTTATGAGGATAATGCACAGCTAAGAGGTTGAGTATCTTTACTTTTTATTTGGGCAATTTCAAAAGCAATTATTTCACATCGTAGGGCAATTTATTTATGAAATTCTCATTGTAGAAACAGAAACATTTTTAATTGGAAATACGCAATCTAATTTCATTTTTTCCAGTTCAACACACAGATACTGTGATGATAATCATAGTATATACAAAATTCCCAAGTAAAATATTTAGGTGACTTGTTTCGGCCCAAACAACTTTTTAATTTTAATCACAAAATCTAAAACTTTTAAGTCATTGGGGAGGTTGATAACCAGTCATGACAAAACTCAATTTTTAAGCAATGCCAAATATTTGATCCATTATACTTCAAATTTTAGAGGTATTAAAATAATCTTCATAATTTAAAAAATAAGCAAAGATGGAAAAATCTCTAGTATGGAGCTATAGCTTCATACAAAAATGTATGAAGCCTTTTTTCAAAGCTGTTGTTTTAAAGTATCATTTCATATAGAAGGACAGCATTTATATTTTATAGGATGAAAAGATCTGATGTGGACAGGATTCAGACCACTTTTGAATTTCAGTGAAGCTCCTGGTTCAATTAGATCCCTCTTTCCATTCTCCTTACCTCTCCCGCACCCATCCTCCCTCTCCCCAGCTGCTTTCTCCTCTTCCCTACTCTCTCCTCCTCCCTCCTCTACCTTATATTCTCCTGGCACTTGCACACTCAGACACTGTTTTGCACAAGTGGATCTATTTCCTTCAACAGTGGTCATTACTGTGAAACTGTAGGATGGCAATGAATATTTCATATGTAGCACTTAAGCCTCTTCAACTAGAGTATGCATTTTGATTCATTGTACCCATCCATAGGCACTTAATAAATGCTTATTGATTGTATAGTAAGATTGTATTATGACTGATTTTGAGAATTTTCATACCCTCTGCACTTACTGGTACTATATTTCCTTTTATCTAAGATGTACCTTCTTTCACATTTCAACATTTTTAAAACCTAAAGGCATTTTATGATCAAGGGCATATTGTGATTTAATTGGCAGGGTTATTTTTTAAAAATCTTTCTTTGTTGGCATGCATCTCACAATCAGTGGTATACTAGGTTGGATGAAATATAGCAGTAAAAATATAGATAAATCTATTACTTGCATAATGTGCTAAAGGCCATGCATTTCACAGTCAAACCTTTAAAAAGTATCTTTTTTTTCATACGTGGTTTGTTTGTGGCCAATTTTGTTTGCTTCCCACTAGTTCTCTCCATCCTAGCTTCCTTGCTCTGTGGCTCTACTTATTCTTAAGCCACTGTCTGGACTCAACATCCTGGAAAATGCTCACAGAATTTTATTAGTAATTTAATTACCAACATTCAACTGTAAAGTTTTTCAAACTAAAGCCCCAGGCTCAAGTTATGATTCTGTTCCTTTAAACTATGTATACTTAGCAATCCAATGATTATTCTCAGAGCTTCAAATTATATATCTAAATAATAGAAATAATATGAATAATTTTTTCATCACAGGATTGTTAGGACAATTTGTAAAAAAAAAATTGTACCAGTAAAATTATTGAAAATGAAATGTATATGAGAGCACTTTTTAAACCATGAATTACTGTTAAATTATAAATTGTAAGGATCAGGATTAAACAAAATATTATTAGACAGGCTTGTGTATGAGTGGAAAGTTGGAGAGAGGAAAAAATGAAAAATTATATGATCCATTCCAAACTAAAGAGAGTAAATTTTACATTGTTAATTATCATTAGAAATGATGATATGACTCATTAAATGTATGAATTAAAAGGAGGACCATGAAATCTATCTTCAGAGAGCTTCCTACATATCAGATTCTTATCTATTCTAAATCTCAGCACTGAGAATGCATTTCAATACCTGAGAGTTTGTACTGTAGATTGAATTAGTAAACCACAGCCCACAGTACCTCTGAGTCATTAAAAATAAAAGAGGTTACTTAGATTCCTCAATTCCTTTTCTATCATTGTTCTTTCCATTTAAGAGACAACATCAGCATATTTCACAATAGATTTTGCATCACTAAACATCTCAGAATAAGATGCACACTTATGGGTTAGTATATTAAAATAGACTTTATCCCAGTCACTTTAACTCTTGGAATATGACAGAGAGTTTTGTCTAACAATCTGACTTTAAGATGGTTGGATGAGAGAGTATGCCAGCAATTATTGTTCTTCATGTGTTTTTTGTAGTTGCTTGGTCAAAGCAACCAAACCTTACCTTATTGTTTATTTGCTGGGTTCCTTGTTATATATAAAGACTTAAAATAGAATTTGCATACAAATGTACATTTTAATAGAGCCTTCCTTCTCATAGAAAAAGAGTTATAGATATAAGATAATATCCACTGGGGAAAAATACCACACACCATTGTAGTAATTGTGAGAGGGCCCTACTCCCTGGTTCTAGATATTCATGAAGGGGAAATGATACAAAATTAATTGAACCAAATGGAATCAGTCACATAGCTACTTTCATAGGCAGAACCCTTTTGCTGCCATAAGGAAGACTTCAAATATTTTCAGCTTTAAATTTCATCTTACCACTCTCCAATGAGAAATAAATTTCATAGAACATAGGTACTACTGCATAGAAACCAAAATCCTCAAAGTCCTTTTTCTTAAAAAACTGATTAGGACATTTGTATATATTGAGCTTTCTTTAATACTTATTTTTTGTTGTGTTGGTTTTCACAATTTCAAAAACATACATAAGAGTAAAAAACATATTCTCATTATTGTATGTTTAAAACATAGGGCACTTCCATGGCACTTAAAATAGTACTTTTGAATGTAAATTTGATTGCCATAGTGACTACAAAACACAAGATTATTTTTTAAAAGGTTATATGTTTAGCGTGTATATTGTCTGTGAGGATAGAAATTTCAAGTGGCAGGAATAAAGAGGAAGTGCTGTTTTAGAGGCATGTGCAGGTGAAAAGGGGAATTAAAGGAAAGGGAATTCTTAGTCATTACTTGAAAATCCTGTTTCTCTATGCTATATCTGTCAGTGGAAACTCTTTCAGTATCTCATTTAAGTCACTTTATTTCCAAAGACTTAAAAGTCGTGACTCTTAACAAATGTGAACATTTTCACATTTAATAATATACTGGGGTTCACAATTGTTTCCCATGTCAATTTATTATTAACAACAGCAAGCACATTGGGCTTACTTGATAATAAGTACTACACTAA